ACACACACACACACACACACACACACACACACACACACACACACACACACACACACACACAGAGGCCCAGGGGAGTGCACGCACCTGCCTCAGCAAGAGAGGCTTGCCTCTCTCCCCCATGCAGGCCCTCAGCCGACATCCCTCGTCCACCTCTGCGGAGAAGGGCCACCCCCTCTCACCTCGGGGAGACCTGACATCCATCGCCCCCATTTAAGCCACCCACTCCACCCCCCCACCCGCACCGCCAGGGTAGGCGAGGAGGGGGGAGGACTTGCCATCACCTGTCCCTCAACATAGCAGGCATCTCCCCTCCCCCAACCTTCAACAGTCAGGGACCCTCCTTCCCTCTCTGAGGCTGTGCTCAGGGAATCCCCCTTCCCCTTAACCCCCCCCTTCGCTCACCTGCTGGCCTTTGACCCCCTGTCAGGTGGGGACCCCCCAGAGTCAGTCGGGGAGCTCAGCGTCATGGTTGAGATGGGCGACACCTCAGTCCGCCGGTCAGGAGCAGCCACCTCCTCCTCCTGGAGAAAGAACTGAGCACCGGGAGGGAGGGAGGTCAACGGCAGGCCCCACCAAGGTCAGCGCACCCCTCCCCTCCCCTCCCGGCCAGGAGCGACTCACCTGGACAGCACCTGCCGGGGAGCTGCAGCGCCGCGGTGTGTCCTCGGGGGCCTGCTCCGTCTCCGTGTCGCAGGTGTCCTCGTCCCCATCGTCCCCCCCGTCGGCCTCCCCTTCGGCCTCCTCCTCGATGGTGGGGGTCTCCCCGGGGACCGAGGCCCGGCGCCGCTGCTTCTTGCCCTTTTTGGGGGCCGCCTTTTTCCGCCGAACATCCGAGGGGAGGTGGCTTGAAAGAGGGTGATGGATGTGGTGCGATGACTGGCGGTGGTCTGGAGGAAAGGGGCAGGGCGTCAGAGGGCCCTGGGGGGCTTGGGCACTCGCCCCCTTGTGCACACCCAGCCAGAGTGGGAAGGGCAAAGGGGGGACCCCAAAGACCAGCCCTGCAGGATCGGGGCTCAGCCACATCCATCCCTCCATCCAGGGGGCTGGGGCAAGAGCCCAGGGAACAAACGGCCGGCCGGCCGGAGGGCCAGAGGCAGGCGAGAACGCAGCCGGAAGAGCTGGAGCAGGCTGACCATGGGACCGATTCCAGAACGCCCTGCCAACATGGTGCCCCCTCCCCAAATCCTTCCTGCCCGACTTGAGCACGGGCCCTTCGCCCCAGCAAGAGATCTCCCCGACCAGGCCAGCTCCCCCCTCTCCCAGCCCCCCCGCCCCTCAGCCTACATTCAAAGTCCTCCTCGCTGTAGCTCCGGCCGGCCTCCTCCACGTTGCGCGGGTGCGCATCCTGCAGAATCTCTTCAAAGCGCTCCACCCGCAGGGCTTTGCCCAGGTCCTTCTCCTCTTCCGGCTCCCCAAAGGGGGGTGAGGCCGGGTTTGGCCCATCCGGCTCCAGCTGCGAAAGAAGCACAGCGTGGTGGTGGTGGCGAGGAGCGGGGAGGGAGACGGAGGGCGCTCCAGGGAGACAGGCAGGCAGCGTAGCCCTCTCTTCTCCAGCTGGATCGATGTGGGGCAGAGCGGGCGTGTGGGGCAAGGCCTCTCAGGCTCCTTCGCCCTCTCTGGAGCGTTGCCCAAACCTGGACCCAAATTCAGAGGCAACCCTTTGCCGCCGCCGCCCCCAGCCGCTGTGTGACCTGCTGGGACTCTCGTCAGGTCCTTCCTGAAATGGCGGCAGTGGTGGGGGCCCTCCTTAATGAGCACCCCCTCGCTGCGCAACACTAGGCCCTTTCCCAGGGGCCGGTTGTCCCCAAGTTGTGTCCTGCAGCCGGAGAGGGAGGACAGCCCAGCTGTGCACCAAGCAGCCAAAAGGAACAGAAAAAACCGGGGGGGGGGGGGGGAGGGGAAGGGGCGGCAAAGCCTTGGGGGCAGCCCCCT